TGACTTTGGGTTAACCCTTAATGAGATGCTGTGAGACACCTAACTGGACTTCAGATAGTAGGCGCTTTTGCATGGATACATCATTAATCCCACCAGTTGGTGCTGTGTGGGATTAATGATGTAGCCATGCAAAAGCGCCTACTAGCTGAAGTCCAGTTAGACGTCAAACAGACACTACAACTGGCTTTATCATTGGAAAATGCTGCAAGTGGAGTTTATGGGAGACATCCTGACACCCTGAGAGCTGGCAGTGAGGGGCTTGGGTCAATGTCAAAGACTTTCCATTTGTAAGTGAACGGTGAGCTGGTGACTTTTGCCAGCCTCTGTGAAGTTATTGCACACTGGTCTACACAAGCATCTTTATCAAAGAATTTCAAAGGACTGTTCAAAACTCAAACTAAAATTTCAAAATAAATCTCTAAATTATGGATGGTTCCCTAAACCTTGAAAATATCCTCACCTGACTGTAAACTGGAGCTTGTTTAGTCTTAAATCCTTACCAATGTACACAAAATCACATTAATTCTAAAACAATGCCTCAAAAACTCCTTTAAAATAAATCACTATTGCTACAGAAATACTTAAAAGTTAATTATTAATTTCAGACACTCAGAAAACTCACATATTACTAACTCAAAAGCCAAAACCCAAAATTACAATAAATGCTGTAAAAAAAGTCTGTGCAAATCAAACAGAACATGTAACAGGTCCCATGTCCAATATGGAAAAAGTTTACTTTCTGCTCAAACCCACCCATGCTACATTCCAGCTAAACATATTTCTGAAGTTACTGTTTTTGATAAATTTCAATTCAGTGTAAAGCAGCTGAGGTGAAGATCTCCAGAACAGAAAAATAAGAATGGTTTTTACCACATGCCTGTCACGCTGCTTCCAAATCAATTCAGCACTCACCTAGTTCTCTTTAAAATCGCAGTCATTGTGCACAATATGGGGTCTGTGAAGCTGGGAATTGCACATTGACAGTGACCAGAGTTGCCGGGAAATATGAAAATGGTAGCATGGGTGAGAACAGGAAGCTTAGGACGTTGGCCTGTGATCGTGGGCTAGTGAAGTAGGGAGGTGTGGGATGGGATCAAGTAGGAAACCAGGGGTCAAGGCAGGGTATTTGAAGAGGTCAAGGGCCAGCACAAGAATGTTGGGACTGGGAATTAGAAATGTCTACGAGTAGGCTAGGTTTAGGTTTGGGGGTAGGAAGGGTGAGTGTTGGGACTGAAAATAAGGAAAGGCTGGGAGAGATTGGGTTTTACGGTTATAAGGAGACAAGTCTTGGGAGAGTTGAGGTAATCAATTTCTTAAACATAACCTCTATACTGGATGTTATTTACCTTTCTAATTGGGCCTTGTAGGTGATTGTTAGACCGTGTTCCCTGAGTCTAGTTATGACAGCTGGCTATCATGGTAAACAGATTTTGGAGACCTCAAATGGGTGTCAAGCCTTTCATTTGCCATTGCAAAGGATTTTCTGCGTTTCAACCTGAGTAAAAGACTATATATGTTTGTCCTGACCCAGAATGGTGGAAAGTGCATTAGCAACAGTAGTGCCTGAAAACCAAGTGCACAAACTGATTCCTAGACCAGACTGCAAAGCTGTGGGAGAGAATGAAAGTAGACTGGGCTGCAAAGATAGAATTCTGTTTAGATTGCAGTATCCAGTAAAATGAGAGTTGCAGATTCAGCCCCTACTATGAGTGCTATGAATGAGTGCACCTTAATGAAATAAGACATACTCAAGTGTAAATCATTGCGATTGTTCAGAACTCTACTCAGCATGGACTGATGCCTATGCAGTTTTATTCTTTTATTTATGTAAGCATAAACCTAAAATGTCAGCTAATACGAATGCTGTATTCTTCCCAACTACTGACAAGTACTTTTATATTACAAACCTTATGCTCTCTAACAGCGGTTTACAAATATTGAAATATGGAATAAAATACCTTTTGTCTTGCTTCTTAATAGAAAAGAATGCCAACTTGTGACTATTTTTATACTACTGATCTCAAAGTTGTGTGTGGCTCAGATTATTTAAATGTTGAACAGGAAAGCAGGTGCCTCAGAAATTATGAGTGAAGAATGTGCTGTAACCAAAAATTTACTTATTGATAAAAACAGAAAAACTCGTAAATACTCAGCAGGTTAGACAGCATTGTGAGGAGAGAAACAGAGTTAAATCTGATATTTAAACCTGATAAGTTAACTCTGTTCATCTTGTTGAGTGTTGTTGGTTTGTAATTGGTTGAGTTTCCCCAAAGTTATACCCTATGATTAGAAGTGGTCATGAATTTCACAGTTTTATTGTGTTGCCAGTTTGAAGTTTGAATGCGTATGAGAGCAGGAGGACCCTCAAGTTTATTCAGATATTCAGTTACATTATGACTGATGTGTATTTGACTTCCACCAACCATGTTCTGTAACCCTTAATAACTTTGCCTAATCAATTTTTGCTTTGATATTTTCAGTTGACAGATCAAAATATATATTTAGATTTACATAAAATTTAATAAGTTCATAAGGGGAAGTTAGTACAATAGTGATAATATCAATGGACTAGAAATTCAGCAGCACAGCTTAATGCTGTGGGAACACAAGTTCAAATCATGGCAACTGGTGGAATTTAAGTTCAGTTAATAAATCTGGAAATGAAAACTATTCTCAGTAATGCTGACCAGAGACAGAATCTTACAGCGGTCTGAGTGACAGAGCTATAGTGAAATGTGAGGCAGAATCAAGTGACAAGAGTGGCGAGGCCAGTCTCAATGTTGGGAGCAATTTGCACCTTCTCTTTTTGCTTTTTACACGTAAATGTGGTTAGATACTTGCTCGGCTGCAGCAAGATGCCAATTAACAGGAATTAATGCTTGTTAAACGCCTTGTTATTGCCACAACTTGCCTCATCAATCTTCAGCCTCTCATCTTACCAAACTCACCAAACAAGCTAGATATTAGGAAAACGTAACAAGAAAACCAGAACAAGCACCTGGTAAATTCAGCTTGCCCTTTGCTCGAAACTACTTACATGTCAGAATTCAGGCATCAGCATCTCTAGGCATGTTCCTTGGGCAATAGCCATGCAACCACATCCACTGGCATCTAACATGTGTCAGCCTCTAAGAATCTCATGGCACATCTATGACCCACTTACAGGACACTTGTGCACTTGGACATAGTGTGCACAGGGACAGGCACCCAGCTTATAGACTGGACCTCTGGCCTCTCTGGCCTCTTCACTCACTGTCATATCACTCAATCACTTTGGCTTTAACTGGATGCTCATAGAATCCCTGTCTTGCAATGCCTCGCCTTTTTGCATTTTGCCCCCTCAGCTAGAGATACCAGGCCCATGTTACTTCTGCGTTGCCATGCTGTTCAATGCAGTCACAAAGCCAAGAAGCTTGTCATAGTTGTCAGCAGGCCTCAGTCAAGTTAAGAGAAATAATCTTTGATCAGAGGTGGCAGTGCCCCAAGTGAATGAATAGGCAGCATAGAGGGCATGCAGGGTGGTGTCGGGGTTGAGATGGGTAATGGTGACAATGGAAGATCTGCAGGCAATAGTAAAAATGATAGAGCGTGATGGATCCATTAGCAATAATTGGATGAGTGTGAGATATCGGATAGAAAATCATGGCTCTTATACTCGCAGAGTACAGAGAGTCATTGCCCTTCTTCCTACAATGCTGGGCATTCTTCAGACAGCTGAGACTGCTTTAATCTGGTTGGCAACTTCAGATCAGACTGGCATGGCCTGGTGTTACAGTCTCCACTGCTGGTCCTGGGGAAGAGGAAGCCCCACATGTGGATCACCTTTTTCAGCAAGTTCTAAGGGTCCCTGCCTGCAAAGAAGGCCATCAATTTCTCCTGTCTCCCATGTCTGGGGAAAATTTCAACAACTGTGCAAATCAAGTCTGGTCTGATAGTATTCATCTGGGTGCACAATAGGCTTTTAAAAATGGCATAGTTGCAAGGGATATCGATGAATTGAGGGCTATCTTGAACTTCTGTTCTGGGAACGGCTCACAGTCAGATGGGGATAGAATCATATGTGAGAGATGCCAAATGGGTGTGCTGATATTAATGAGTTAAGTTTGGCAGTTTATGCTGAGAAATCACAGTCGGCCTTGCAGTGAGAAATCCTTCAAAAAACTTGACACAACTCAACTTAGCCAAGAAAACTTAAGATTCAGCCCCATGAAATTGTCGATTGTCATAAAAACCTATCTGGTTCACTCATGTTCTTAACGGAAGGAAAGGTACCAACCTTACCTGGTCTGATGTACATGTGATACCAGATCTATAGCAATGTGTTTGACTTTAAACTGCTCTCTGAAATGACCTAGAAAACCAATCAGTTCAAGGACCATTAGGGTTGGATAAGAAATGCTGGCCTGGCTGGCAGTCCCCACATCCCAGGAAAAAATAAATTTTAAAAAATTATCATTATGGTGGTAGCAAACATCTATTGCACTCAACTAATGAATGCCGGTGGTAATCACTCAGCCGTTCAACTTTCTGAGGTGGTTAAAGAACTGTCACTAAGTTGGATGAATGTAGGAGGCTGCAGGAGATTTCTAGTACTGTGTCCAGTGCTTGTTTGACTGTTATTACTACTATCATCAGATATGCTTTGTTGCCAGCAATAAAATCATTATATGCAGCACCTCATCTTTCAGCTGGTGTCAGTGGGACAAGTCTTGACCTCTTGCCTTTCATTTTTAATTGAGAAAAATTTAGCAGTCCAATGCTGCCTGACAAATTGGTAACTGGGAAAAGTGTGAAAACAATTTAATTGATTTCTACAAGTTGTTAAGTGTCCTTACTTTCACACTTTTGTTTCGTGACCTGACTGAATTGGGGACAATGCTATATAAGTGCAGTACCTCACCCTGCCAGAAGTGTGTTACAATTTCAGTAAACTATCCAGTCATTAAATTGTCATAATAGCTTATTCCTTTCTCTTTCATTGCGTCTTTTCCCCCACGCAGGCTGTGACAGTGAACACTGGGGACCCCATTGCAGTAACCGTTGCCAGTGTCAAAACAGAGCCCTGTGCAACCCCATCACTGGGGCCTGTGTCTGTGCTGATGGATATAAGGGATGGCGGTGTGAAGAACCCTGTGACCATGGAAAGTATGGCAAAGGATGTCAGTATAAGTGTCAGTGTCAAAATGCAGCGACTTGCGATCATGAGACTGGAGAATGCCATTGTTCTCCAGGTTACACTGGCGCCTTGTAAGTACAAGTTTATCAGAACTCCCAAAAAGACTCAGGAATATATTTTGAGTCGATATTAACATTCCAGTTAAAAAAAGATTTACTAGCCAAAATTCCAGAGTTCAGTAAATTGTATTATGCAAGAAGAATCATACATACAATCTGAAATAACTCTTCAGAGACCGGCATCCCATCATCAGTTACCCTTTACTTACAATTGCATAGCCTTTGACAATAGCAGTGCTTCTCTCTGAGTCAGGCAGTCAGGCTCCCAATATCCCTGACATTCATTCTTTTATGTCAAAGATAGTAGGAACTGCAGATGCTGGAGAATCTGAGATAACAAGGTGTAGAGCTGGATGAAGCAGCATCAGAGGAGCAGGAAGGCTGACGTTTCGGGCCTAGACCCTTCTTCAGAAATGGGGGAGGGGAAGGGGGTTCTGAAATAAATAGGGAGAGAGGGGGCGAACACCTACGCTCGGTTCGCACTAAACAACTGCACCTCCCAGTCGCGAACCATTTCAACTCCCCCTCCCATTCCTCAGACGACATGTCCATCCTGGGCCTCCTGCAGTGCCACAACGATGCCATCCGAAGGTTGCAGGAACAGCAACTCATATTCCGCTTGGGAACCCTGCAGCCCAATGGTATCAAAGCTTCAAAATCTCCCCTCCCACTACCGCATCCCAAAACCAGCCCAGCTCGTCCCTTCCTCCCACCTATCCCCTCCTCCCACCTCAAGCCGCACCCCCATCTCCTACCTACTAACCTCATTCCGCCCCCTTGACCTGTCCGTCCTCCCTGGACTGACCTATCACCTCCCTAACTCCCCACCTGCACTCGCCTTTGCTGGTTCCATCCCCGCCTCTTTGACCTGTCTGTCTCCTCTCCACCTATCTTCTCCTCTATCCATCTTCTATCTGCCTCCCCCTCTCTCCCTATTTATTTCAGAACCCCCTTCCCCGCCCACATTTCTGAAGAAGGGTCTAGGCCCAAAACGACAGCCTTCCTGCTCCTCTGATGCTGCTTGGCCTGCTGTGTTCATCCAGTTCTACACATTCTTTTATGTCAGCTGGGTCTCCCTGATTGGACCAGATTAACAGCCTCAATCAGGGGACTCATATTCTATGAGATACAGCTGGCTAACCTCGTTACAATTACTACACAATCCATGCTATATGAATGCTTTATATAAATTGTTATTCATTTCATTTCCATGATAAATATTCATCAGCTTTAAGTAAGTTGTCTTGCATTGAAGTAGGTTAAACTGAATCTCAACACCAAAAGCAGTGTTAAATTTTGAAATATTTCAAACCTACTTAATCCACCCAATTCCAAGTTTGACACAGGTGGGGCAAGGGTCTGATTGCCAACTTGTTCTCAGAAAGCAAGTTGGCAATGTAAACATGTATCAGGAGATAGGAGCTACAGCACACCCTCTTCCACCCACCCACTCTACCCCAGGGGCATGAAGTAAAAACATTATGCAGGCTGTAGAGTCTACCATCATGCCACCTGGTTGAGATTGGACCCTCTGGTCCCTCTTGCAATGCACCTTGTTATTACAAGATTGTGAGTATAATTAAGTTCTTTCATTTTGATTTTCTCTTACTTTCTGTAGTTGTTTTGTTCATTCACTAATTGCCGTACCATTCACAGAATCACAGAAGTATTATGATGCAGGAAAAGGCCATTCAGTTCTGCATGCTTGCATTAACTCAGGAACTGAACATCATTGCCTAGTGCCAATCTCCTGCTTTTTCCCCATACATTTTGCACCATTACTTTTCTCCAATCATCCAGTGCCCTCTTGAATGCCGCATTGAACCTGCCTCCACCACTCTTCCAGGCAGTGGATTCCATATCCTAACTACTTGCTGAGTGAAAAATATTTTCCTTGCATCACCCTTGCATCATTTGTAGGTCACTTGAAATCTATGCCATCTTCTTCCCGTCCCTTTTACAAGCAGAAATAGTTTCTTCCCATCTATTCTGTCCAGCCCATTCATGATTGTGAAAATTCGGTATTAGCAGTTTGGGAGAAGGCATAATTGATGTGAAAAGGTATAATAAATGGTTTAAGTTAGAACATAGAACAGTACAGCACAGTACAGGCCCTTTGGCCCATGATGTTGTGCTGAACTTTTACCCAAAACCTAAGGTCTATCTAACCTCCACCGCTACCTTATACTATCATCCATATGCCTATCTAATAGCCGCTTAAATGCCCGTAATGAGGCCGACTCCACTACCCTCTTCGGCAATGCATTCCACGCCCCTACCACTCTCTGAGTAAAGAACCTATCTCTGACGTCTCCCCTATATCTACCTCCACTCACCTTAAAACTATGCCCCCTCGTAATAGCTACCTCCACCCTAGGAAAAAGTCTCTGGCTGTCTACTCTATCTATACCTCTGATCATTTTGTACACCTCTATCAAGTCACCTCTCATCCTTCGTCGTTCTAAAGAGAAAAGCCCTAGCTCTCTCAACCTTTCCTGGTAAGACCTTCCCTCCATTCCAGGCAACATCCCGGTAAATCTCCTCTGCACCTTTTCCAACGCTTCCACATCTTTCCTGTATTAGCATTAGAGTTAGCATGTTCCCTCCATGTTTTTCTTCCTCCAAAGCAATGGGGCATCTATGTTTCCTTATTTGTTCATTTGAGATTTGTGTATCTTTGAAACTGCAAACCCATTTTGGGATGCAATACCATTGTCTAATCTAGCACAATTCAAGATATCGTCTAAGTAAGGGTGAAACTCTGCCATTGACTATAATGAGACCTCCATTGAGAAATGGGGAAAACACTCTTTACAGTACAGTGCAGTATCTGTAACCAAAGCACCTACTTAGTAGCACTGGAATAAGTCACTAAGAGAACCTCTTACACTTCTCACAAAAAGTATTATACATGATTCTGAGGAACCCAAATCCCAAGGTAGGTCTTTCCTGTAGACTGCAGATATTTACATGTAGCATATCCGAATGCATTGTTACTCGTTGGAGGCGAGCTACATTTTTGTGACTGAATATCACTTCCTTATCACGGGTTTCAGACTGAAAGAAGCAAGATAATACAACAGAACCACAAGCTGACACAAAATGTCAAAGTAAGTATCATCGGCCAAATAACATAAAACTAGAGTTGTTCTTCCTGTACCAGAAGGCATATATATCTATCTGCGCAGTTTGTGAAAAGCCTTCTGGGTATTAGTTGCACATGGTGTACACTACTGTTGAATATTTTACTGCATAATTAAAGAGGTTAAATTTCTTCTTCCACTATCATTGGGCTAATTCTAAATACAGTAGTCTCCCTGTAGTAGATTGAAGTTAGCCAATAAGCAAGTGTTCAACTAGATGTACAAATTATTGAAAATGAATGGAGAGTAAAATTTGATTCCATGGCACACTTTGTCATGGGCAGAACAGAGGTAAAAAGTGTCAATTTGGGGTGAGTATGTTCCCCAAGAACCTGAAGTAAATCTGACACCATATTAGTTTGCCTGAAATTTATAAACACCCTAACAGCCATAAAAAACAAACAAAGGTGTCCTGTATAGGCATTAGGTGTTCAACACCTGTCCTGCAAACCAATTCTGAAATATGGCTGGACATGTTCTGTACCTACTCTTTCCAGTTGGAGGCCACCACCAATGATTTATTGTAAAGTGGAACCTATTCTCCTCCCCTTCCTATCCCTAGGAACCACCTGAGATCTGCCATCAGTGTTAAAAATAACCCAAACAGGTGTCCTTAAAAATGACCAGCCTGCAGACGTCCATTCCAGCACGTATGCATTCCAACCATTTCATACATGAAAACAGGACAAGGCAAATTTGACCCCCACAATATGTGTGGAATGTTACTGGTCACATTTGAGTATTAGTGCAGATTCATAACGGACTTAGTTGCCCACGAAAGTAGAGAAAATTTCAAATTTTACCACTGTTAAAGCTTTAGCTACTTAAATAACAAACGTGATTGAACAAACCTGGCAATGTAAATTGTACACAATACATTAAAAACACCATAGAGGATTTTTCTTCTTTAAATTTCTTATATATACTGTCTTTCACAATAATACATAGCACCGTAATTGCTGAAACTGAATTCTAAGGCTGATTCAATTAAATAGAAAAGCTAGCAGCATGAAACACTAAAGGCGCGTTTATTATTAATCACAATGTAAAAGAAAAATAGTCTGAGTGTCTTCAAATAAGTCGTAATACAATTTTAGCACAAGGCTTCATTCTCATTAATTTTTCCTTCTGTTTCTTCCTTGTTCTTTTTCTGTCTCTCCAGTGGGATATTACAAAAAGCACCATCAAACACAAAACAGCCTGGTGTTGAAATATAGTGGCAGACAGAAAATTCTTGTCATGAAATTTATACTGGATCCAATGATGATTATCAGATTCAATAATATTAGTTTAACATACTTGAGTATTCATATAGTTAGATATAAATAAGGGAAAGTATGCCCTGTAAATTAGAATTTTGATCAATTTCAGCTCTGTATTGTAATAACCAACTGTATTGTCTACTTTTAATCTGCAGTTGTGAAGAACACTGCCCATCTGGCAGTCATGGAGCCCACTGTGAATTACGGTGCCCATGTCAGAATGGTGGCAAATGCCACCATATCACTGGAGATTGCACTTGTCCAGCTGGTTGGATGGTATGTTTAAAGAAAAAAGCTTCCTTCATAATTTTGTTTTAATAAGGCAACTTCATCATTAAAGGTAAAATCAGAAAATACTTGAAATATTCAGCAGATCCGTCAGCATCTATGGAAGCAGAAACAGAAAGGTCCTTCGGCTGAAACGTTAACTCTGTTTCTCACTCCACAGATGCTACTACATATGCTGAGTATTTCCAGCGTTTCTATTTTGATTTCCAATTTCTGACATCCACTATACTTGTTTTTTTTTTCCTCATCATCAGAGGTATTGATCATCCAACGAATGTTCGCTAATATTGATTCTGATGTTAGTAGCGTGGATTTTTTTGAATAAAAGAAAATAATGCTTGAAATACACATCAGGCCCATCAGCATCTGAAAAAAAAGGACAAAGTAACATTTCATTTAGTATGTTTTATCCGAACTGGAGACAGGTCACCATTGTATTTCCATCATGTTTAAATCTTTTCAGATTTTCAATATTCAGTGTTATTCCTTTTATCTGCTGGAAATTTACCTTCCTACTACCAAAAGTACAGGTCATTTTTCTTTTGCTTCTGGAGCACTATCTGCGGTTATTTGTCTTGGTGACTACCTTGGTAAATTTGTACTACGTATATAGTTGTGCAACTTACCAATGCTGAAGGTTACGGTTTAACAGTATGTACATTGAAAGAAATTCATAAAAAGTTTTGAACCTTCATACAGGAAGGAATGTTTTGGGACAATCAGAAAACAGATGAATAAGCGTATCATCTCAAAATCCACAGTGCTAATGGCTTGGAATGGTTAATATATATAACCAATTCATGCAGAAGTATGAAAAGGTAGCATCTGTACTATTATAACTAGACTGTTTCTCCCTCCACAACTATGAAATCGCCTGAGGCAAAGGAAACAAAGAGCACTGGCCCAATGTGGAAAAAGAAACTTTGGAAAATTCCACCCAAATCCAATTTAGAAATCAAAATCAGTCTTCACAGACACCTTGGACCAAGTGTACATTAACTGTTAATTAGAGGGAAGGTGATAGGTGTTAGCCTAGTGGCATTATCACTGGGCTAGTAATCCAGAGACCCAGGTTATGTTCTGGTGACCCAGGTTCAAATCCTGCCATGGTGGAATTTGAATTCACTAAAAAGAATTTGGGATTAAGAGATGAATGATAACCATGAAACTATTGCCAATTGTCAGAAAAACCCATCTGATTCACTAATGTCCTTTAGGGAAGGAAAATCTGCCATCTTTACCTGGTTTGGCCTGCATGTAACTCCAGACCCACAGCAATGTGGTTGACTCTAAACTGCCCTCTGGTCAGTAAATACTGCCCTGGCTAGTGATATCAAATGCCATGAATGAATTTAAAAAAAAAGCTAATTTCTAAAACTGAAATACACAGCCTAGAATTGGCCCAGCTCTCAATCGAAGGTAGGGAGTCAGCATACATACCAACCTGCAATGTGGCTAGAGGTACACTGGTGTAGTTTTGGTCGCCACACTACCAGAAAGATGTGGAAGCTTTGGAGAGAGTGCAGAGAATGTTCACCTGGATTTTGCCTGGTCTTGAGGGCATTGGCTATGAGGAAAGTTTGTTTTCACTGGAAAGACGGCAGCTGAGAGAAGACCTGATAGAAGTCTACAAAATCATGAGAGGTACAGATAGGGTGGATAGTCAGAGGTTTTTTCCCAGGGTTGAAGTTTCAATTACAAGGGGGCACAGTTTCAAGGTGAGAGCGGGAAAGTTTAAGGGAGATGTGCGAGGGAAGTTTTTCACACAGAGAATAGTAGGAGCCTGGAACGCACTGCCAGAAGAGGTGATGGAAGCAGGCACGTTGGCGACATTTAAGGGGCATCTGGATGGTCATGTAAATAGGGAGGGAATAAAGGGATTCGGACAAAATAAGGGCAGAAGATTTGTTTGTTAGTTTGGTTAGGGCATGATGATCAGCACAGGCTTGGAGGGCCTGTTTCTGTGCTACACTTCTCTCTTATTTCTTTACACTGTCTATAGGAAATGCCTGAGTTAATGTATTCTCATTACAGTGTAGTTTAAATCCATAGATGCCAGCTTACTTGAGTTTTTAGCTAAAGTAATCTGGCCTTTAAATTTTCACACATGTGAATTTTGTCTTATTTGTTCACAAAACATGGACATTGCTGGCTAGGCCTCAGCATTTAATGTTCATCCCTAATAACCCTTCAAGAATGTGGTGGTGAGCTGAATTCTGGAAATCTTGCAGCCCTTCAGAGGTTGGGGAGTTCTAAGGATTTGATTCAGTGACAGTGAAGGAAAGACAATATGGTTCCAAATTATCCCATTGTATGGCTTGGAGGGGAATTTGCAAGTAGTTGTGCTCCCATACTTCTGCTGCCCCTGCCCTTTTAGGTGATAGAGATCACGTTTGGAAGGTGTTGCAGTGCATCTTGAAGATAGTATACACTGATGCTACCGTGCATCGATGATGGAAGGAGTGAATGTTGAAGGTGGTGGACAGAGTGCCAATCAAGTGGGCTGCATGGTTCTAGATTATTTCAGAGATAGTAGGAACTGCAGATGCTGGAGAATTTGAGATAACGAGGTGTAGAGCTGGATGAACACAGCAGGCCAAACAGCATCAGAGGAGCAGGAAGGCTGACACCTCGGGCCTAGACCCCCCCACCCCGCCCCCCCAGAAATGGGGGAGGGGAAGGGGGCTCTGAAACAAATAGGGAGAGAGGGGGAGGCGGACAGAAGATGGATAGAGGAGAAAACGGAGCCAGCAAAGGCGAGTGCACGTGGGGAGTTAGGGAGGAGATAGGTCAGTCCAGGACGTGGAACAGTCCCTCTTCCGTAGCTACACTGGCCCTAAACCCCACCTCTTCCTCCGTTACATTGATGACTGTATCGGCACCGCCTCATGCTCCCACGAGGAGCTTGAACAGTTCATCCACTTCACCAATACCTTCCACCCCAAACTTAAGTTCACCTGGACCATCTCTGATACCTCTCTCTCCTTCCTGGACCTCTTTGTTTTCATCTCTGGCAACCACCTGGAAACCGATATCCATTTCAAGCCCACCGACTCCCACAGCTACCTAGAATACACCTCCTCCCACCCACCTTCCTGCAAAAATGCCATCCCCTATTCCCAATTCCTTCGCCTCCGCCGCATCTGCTCTCAGGATGAGGCATTCCACTCCCGTACATCTCAGATATCCTCGTTTTTCAAGGACCGCAACTTCCCCCCCCCCCCAGTGGTCAAGAACGCCCTCAAACATGTCTCCCGCATTTCCCACAACTCATCCCTCACACCCCCTCCCCGCAATAACAACCAAAACAGAATCCCCCTCGTCCTCACGTACCACCCCACCAACCTCCGGATTCAACGCATCATCCTCCAATACTTCCGCCATCTGCAATCTGACCCCACCACCAAAGACATTTTTCCCTCCCCACCCTTATCTGCTTTCCGGAGGGACCACTCTCTCCGGGACTCCCTTGTCCGCTCCACACTCCCCTCCAGCCCCACCACACCCGGCACTTTTACCTGCAACCGCAGGAAGTGCTGCACCTGCCCCTACACCTCCCCACTCACCCCCATCCCAGGCCCCAAGAAGACTTTCCACATCAAGCAGATATTCACCTGCATATCTGTTCATGTGGTATACTGTATCCGCTGTTCCCGTTGTGGCCTCCTCTACATCGGGGAAACCAAGCGGAGGCTTGGGGACCGCTTTGCAGAACACCTACGCTCGGTTCGCACTAAACAACTGCACCTCCCAGTCTCAAACCATTTCAACTCCCCCTCCCATTCCTCAGACGACATGTCCATCCTGGGCCTCCTGCAGTGCCACAACGATGCCACCCAAAGGTTGCAGGAACAGCACCTGATATTCTGCTTGGGAACCCTGCAGCCCAATGGTATCAATGTGGACTTCACAAGCTTCAAAATCTCCCTTCCCCCTACCGCATCCCAAAACCAGCCCAGCTTGTCCCTGCCTCCCTAACCTGTCCTTCCTCCCACCTATCCCCTCCTCCCACCTCAAGCCCCACCCCATCTCCTACCTACTAACCTCATTCCGCCCCCTTGACCTGTCCGTCCTCCCTGGACTGACCTATCACCTCCCTAACTCCCCACCTGCACTCTCCTTTGCTGGCTCCGTCCCCGCCTCTTTGACCTGTCTGTCTCCTCTCCGCCTGTCTTCTCCTCCATCCATCTTCTATCCGCCTCCCCCTCTCTCCCTATTTGTTTCGGAGCCCCCTTCCCCTCCCCCATTTCGGGGGGGGGAGGGGTCTACGCCCGAGCCGTCGGCCTTCCTCTCCTCTGATGCTGCTTGGCCTGCGGTGTTCATCCAGCTCTATACCTTGTTATCTCAGATTCTCCAGCATCTGCAGTTCCTACTATCTCATATTCAAACAGGACTGGACAGTGTTAATGGAGGAAGGATGCTCCTGATTGTGAACACAGGTCACAATCTAAGGATGAACACAGCAGGCCGGGCAGCGTTGGAGGAGCGGGAGGGCTGGCGTTTCAGGTCTGGACCCTTCTTTGGAGGTGGGGGAGGGAAAGGGGGCTCTGAAGTGGATGGAGAGAGGGGGAGGCAGTGATGGAGGGTGGATGGTGGGGCAGGTGGGTGGAGAGAGGACGGATGGGTCGGGGAGGCGGGGATGGAGCTAGTGAAGGTGAGTGTAGGTAGGGGTTTGGAATGGGGGTTGGTCCACCACCCCCGGCACATTTCCCTGCAACCGCAGGAGGTGCTACACCTGCCCCTACACCTCCTTCTTCACTTCCATCCCAGGCCCCCAGAAAACCTTCCCCTCACTGACCAACCCCCATCCCAACTCCCTACCTACACTCACCTTTACTAGCTTCAGCCCCGCTTCCTTGACCTGTCCGTCTTCTCTCTACCTATCTGCTTCACTATTCACCTTCTTTCACCGCCTCCCCCCTCTCTATTTATTTCAGAGACCCCTTCCCCTCCTCCATTTCTGAAGAAGGGTCCACACCCGAAACATCAGCCTGCCTGCTCCTCTGATGCTGCTGGGCCTGCTGTGTTCATCCAGCTCTACACCTTGTTATCTCTGGTTCTAGATTGTGTCAAGTTTCATAAGTCTTGTTGGAGCTGTATTCATTGAGATATTTCATCAGAGAGTATTTCATCACAAATTAACTTATGCCTTGTAGATGGCTTTAGGAAATCAGGAGTTGAGTGAGTTGCCTTAGAATTCCTAACCGCTAACCTGCTGTTGTAGCCGTAGTATTATTTTGACTGGTCCAATTCAGTTTCTAGTCAACATCAACACAGAAACTTAATAGTGGGGAATTCAGTGTTGGTGATGCCATTGAGTGTCAAGGAGTGATGGTTAGATTCTCTGTTGGAGACTGTCATCACCTGCTATTTGTGTGACGTGATTTTTACTTTTCACTTATTAGACAAGCCCAGGTCTTGCTTCCTATGGACAAGAACTTCTTTATAAATTGAGGAGTTGCTCACTGTGCAGGCATCAGTAAACATCCCTACTTCTGACCACGCGATGGAAGGAAGATCATTGCTGAAACAGCTGAAGATGGTTGGACCTAGGACACTGCCCTGACTTCCTTCTGGAAATACATTTCCATATATGCTTCCACCAAACCACTTATGCTGCTAGAATTGAATGTAATTCCCTTTTCATTTTTAAGGTCTGCAAAATAATAGCCCTAGCATTCAATCATTGTTGGGCACCTAAGGGATAATTTGCAAGGTTCACAAAATTTAGACTTGTATATTAAAGTGGACAATGATGATTTATATAGCTGACAAGATAATTTACAGAATGTGGGCTCACGCCAAACATTTACAACCTATGTGTGATTCATTTCTAACACTGCAGTCTTGTGCAGCAAACAAAATGCTCTGGCAGATCAAACTGAGCAGGAGTTCTATGGAACCAGGTGATATTCAGTGTAAAGGCTTTGAATAACTATACAACTGCAGGATCAAATCCAAGATAACAACCAATCTGATCATCAATGTTTAATTGTTCGCAGGTGATGGGCATTAACTGGAGATGCACGTGTGCCTCCATAAACAGACACAGACTGAAACTGTGATGATTGGGATAGGAAGTACAGTATATGCTTATAATATGCATCTTTGTAAATAAAAGATTATGAATGTGTAAAGATTGGTTCCAGTTTTATCCTTCTAATGACCTTTTGGAATACTGTATAATACCCAACTAGTTATCAGGAAGTTCTCTTCAGTGTGAGAATAGAGTTTCTCATTGCTGAAAAGTTGTTCATTCAAACTACAGTTGATGCAAGCAACTGTTTAGAGGAACAAAAAATAACTTTTCATGCTTAGTAAATATTCCTGCATTACATATTCCATATCAATACTGTATAACAGGACAAAAATCATTGCTAGGTTTTCAAGTAATTTACAAAAATGCATAGATTTCTCAATGGTTATCGCATGACAACTTTTAGTAATGCTTTTTAACATCAATTTTCCACAAAGAATAGTTACTGCATTGCCAGATTGAATAAATCCGCATAGAGTATTCAGAGGGTTAAAATAAAATGAATCATCTTAAAATGCAAACTAATCCATTGAGGCGATTGTACAATGAATAACTTATGCTTCAAGGTCCTAACTAATACATATTAAGGTTGCCTAATGGATAATTGGGCACATTTCATTTATCTACGACGTTTCACCAGAAAAGTATGCTTCTTACTTCATTAATAAAGTGTTATTCATTTATATGCCCATCCGTTGAAAATTCTGTTTGAAATGTAAAAATAATGGAGATTTTTATTTTACCCTTGTTGTAGGGATTGGTTTGTGCACAGCCATGCCCATTTGGAAAGTTTGGCATCAACTGTACCCAAGACTGTCCTTGTCATAATGGCGGGCAGTGTGACCATGTGACTGGCAAATGCCATTGTATAGCTGGATATACAGGTGACAGGTAAGAACAAATCTCATGTGGCAGTAAACATGGCTTACATTCTCTAACCTCCTCTCCTGAGGTACAAATCGGATAATAAAAGTGGGTTGTTCATACTGATTGTGGGTAGAAATTGGCCTATTTAATTACTTTTTTTCTGGAAATAAAATAGATGCAAAATTTAATACTTAAGAGTGGGGTTGCTGCTCCCACAACATGGAGGTATTGATTTCATTGCAAAAAATGGTGCTTTTATTTTAAGAATCCCAGGTGGACACTACTGTCATACTAAAATAAGAATTTAGAATGTATCTTCATCTGCAGTTTTAATGGATAATACTTTGAATTAATGATGATTGGGCTGCCTTGTATTCAGTAAGGTTTTGAAAGGGAAAATGGGCAGGTTAGCTAACGAACAGGAGTCTTGACTCTCTTCTACAGAAATGATCATCCCTTAATGAGTAGGATAGGTGCACATCTAAAACCACCAAATATCACTGCAGTGCAAAATACATATATACCATGTCCTGGCTTGTTCAGGGCAAAGTTCACCAACAGGCTTTAATACATAGCACACATTAAGGGAAGCAGTTGATTTTCTTTTAAACACTTACAAGGCAGCTACAGCACAAAAACAGTGTGCGATGGATGCTGGAACTCTGAAATAAGATTTTTAAAAAGCTAGAAAAACTTGTTATCAGGCATCTGTAGAGAGAAACAGTGTTAATATTTTAAGCCATAGGAACATAGAAGCAGGAATGGACCATTCATCCTGTTGAAGTTGCTCCACCATTTTGCTGATCATCTACCTCAATATCACTTTCTCATGCTACCCCATATCCCTTGATGTCATTAGTATCTGGCCTAGTTAGTTACATCAATATCCCATGAATGAAGAAAAAAAATTCAGAAATCTATCAGTTTTTGTCTTGAAAATGCTCATTGAGTGAATTTCCACAGCTGTCTGGGTAGAGAATTCCAAAGATTTACTATACTCCCCATGTCTCTCTTCAAGGGCCTATCCTTTATTCAGAGACTATCTACACTATTCTAGACTCAACAGCCAGGGAGACATTCTATCTACATCCACCCTGCCAAACCCAGTAAGAATTTTATTAATTTCAATGAGATCGCCACTCTTTCTTTGAAGCTCTCGAGAATACAGGTCTGATTTCCTTACTGTGTCCTTATAGGACAATCCTACGATCTAGTTCGGTGAATCTCCATGGCAGTTCTTTCGTGGCAAGTATATCCTTCCTTAAGGGCACCAACTGTACACAATACTCCAAGTGTGGACTCACCAAGGCATTGCACAATTGCAGCAAAACACCTGATTCAAATCCTCTTGCTCTGAAGGCCAGTATACTAAACATTTTAAACAATTTTTTCAGAGATGTTACGGTACACCTATGGAGTATGTGGGACTTGAACTTAGGTCTCCTGGCCTAGAGGTAGAGACACTACTACTGCACCACAAAATCCTCCAAAATGCTATTTACCTCCTAACTATTTGCTGAACCAGCATGCTAGTTTTTAGTGAATCATGAACAAGGCCAAGTCCTTTTGCACATCAACAATTCCCAAACACTCACCATTTAAGAAATAAACTGTGTTGCAATACAGAGACAGACGGCTGAACCATATCGGCCTTTCTACTTCTATATTCACAACACAGTAAAATTATAACCTTCAAAGACCTCAAAATTGATCTCAATGGATCCTAACCAGACTTTTGAATAATCAGTCCTAAACTCTTTGAAAAATCAATTCCACACACCGGTTTATATGGAATCGAATGGAATTGAAACAAAAGACTTAGCAATTTATTAACAATATAGTAACTTAGAGCAAATTTAAACAATGAAGTAATCTAATTTGTCTATGCTTTAAACCCAAAAAACTTCATTTTCAGCCTCATTCACACAAAAGATTGACAGAAAAACACAGTTATGGGATAAATAAAAGAGAATAACTGAACTGGCCGGATTACTTAGGTGGTTTCCACAATGCATTGTTCCATTGGCTTGGATGATATTCTCTTGGTTGATTTTCTGAAGATATCGATCAGTGTCATCTTTTTAGTGCACTCAGATAAAAGCAATAATACTTATAACTTATTTTTCTAACTCTGAGCTTCCAAGAGCTGCTAGTGCGAGATTAGGCAGGGAGCTTCCAAATCTTCAAGCTGTAACATCGACAGCCAGACTCTTTTCCTTCACAGAAAGCACAGTCCAAACCCCAATTCAAACTCTGACCATTCCCTGGTAAATTAATCATCTCGTTTATGAAGTCCCAGTTACCATTCGACATCAGCCATCTGCTTGATCATATGGTCTTTTCCAGACTTGCTGGAACCAAATCCCTGGTACTGATCTGGTTAATAGCCAACTTCTGCAATCTGTTTAAACATAATGCTGTTACTCAGTGATGAAACTTCTGTAGAACCTTTTGATCAGGAAACAACCTGGATTAACTTCCAGGCCTGGCTTCATGAATAAACAAAATCGTGTTTGGTCTGTTTTCCTTTTAAGACAAACTGTTACCCACAGTCTGAAAATCATCTTTAGTTCCCATTTTACAACTCCAAGCCAAAATTGATAAAAGAATGAAACAAAAATAATGAAAAATCAGCAATGGTTCTAACAACTGCCTTTGTTTTTTTTTTCCTACCAAAGTGGGAAACTGCACATGAGTTCACATTATGTTCGATTTGCTACGTGCTTGCCTATTCACCGAGTCTGCCTTAGCTCCCTTGAAGCCTCCTAACATCATCTTCATGATTTATATGTCCACTTAGTTCTGTGTCATCAGTAAATTTATAAATACTGTATAGACTGTGAACAGCTGTGACCCCAGCACTGATCCTTATGATATCCCACAAGTCTCAGCCTGCCAATCCTAGAATGACAGTTCTGTTTGTTAACCAATTCATAATCAATTGCAATATTTCATCCAATCCCATGTGCTCTAATTCAGTTTACTAACTTCTTTACCCAGAGCTTTCTGAAAATCCAAATGTAACACATCCTCTAATTAACCTTTGTCTATGCTACAAGGAACATCCTGAAAAAAGCTCCCAACAGGTTTATCAAATATTATTTCATTTTTGTAAATCCATGTTGTCGCTGCCCAGTCCTTTCATTATTTTCCAAGTGTCTAGTTACCAATCCTTTGAAATACATCACAACATTTCTCTTTTACTCCTCTCGAACTAACATGTCTGAAGTTCTCCATTTTTTCCCAACATCCATTCTTAAATGGTGGGCTACTTTCCAGTTTGTAAGAACCTTTCTAGAATCTATAGAATTTTGAAACGTCTCCACTCATGCAACCATTATTTGTTGTCACGTCCTGCAATATAACTCATCTGATCCAGAGGACTTATCAACCTTCATTCCAGGTAATTTTCTGAGAGCTACCTTTTTATTAATACTAATTTCTTTCAGTTCCTCATTTCGCAAGCCCTTTGGTTCACTGGCCTTTCTGTATTTTTCTCCATGAAGACATACATAAAGTAATTGTGTGTTTTCTCCTGATCTCCATTGTAAATTCTCCTTACTCTGACTGTAATGGACCTATATTCATCCTTGCAATCTTCTTCATTGCATACCTAAAAGTGATCTTGCAGTCTGCCTTAATGTTACTCAGTTGCTTGTGGTCATATTCTGTTTTCCCTTTATCAATTTCTTCATTGCAGTTTCGCAAAACATGGAGACCTTATTAAAACATCTAAAAATATTAGGAGTTTGTCAAGGTAGGCATGGAGTGGTTGTTACTCTTGTAGGGGAGTTTAGGACCAGAGGGCAAAATCTCAGAGTAAGCTCTCACCTATTTAAAACAGAGATGAGGAGTAGTTTTTTTTCTGAGGTAATAAATCTGTGGAATTCTTTACTGCAGAGGGTTGTTACACTAGGTTGTTAAGTATATTCAAGGCTGAGATAGACAAATTTTTAATCAATAAGGGAATCAGGATTATGGGGATAAGGGAGGAAAGTGGAATTGAGAATTATCGGACTAGCCGTGAATTCACTGAATGTCAGAACAGACTTGCTAGGTCAAATGGCCTGCTTCTGTGCCCTGACTTCCTATGGTCTTAATTAGATCAGGACGCGTCGATTCTTTCTCCATTTTCAAGTCGTACATTATATTGATTGTAGTTAAAGACCGAACGTTTACCAGCTTAGGAAGGTGTCTAGGTGTTTCTGTTTAGTACAGTTTAGAGGAACTGAGACAAAACAGAGGCATCATAGAGCCTCCACTGGTGAAAGTGTGTAATTGTAAAAAGTTTACATAGGTAGATTGCATGTTAAGTTTGAGATAGGATTTAATATGTAATTTAATATCATTTGATAATAATATGACAACAGGAAGTGAGGTTTCGTAGAAACGCATGCAGACATAATATTTGATGTGTCGTGGATACATTGTTATTTTTTCTGTTCGTACATTTTTTCATTACTAGTGAAGGACTGTGGCAAGAGTAAATTGTGTTATTTGGAATGACAACTCAATACTCAACAAGAAGAAATATTTTCCTTGTGTGGAGTCCTACAGTTTGCTGTTCCTTGTATAGTAAGTTTGAGGGGAAAAGGCAGTCTTTTACATCATAGCTGTCAAATGTCTGGAGAGGGAGTGAAATTAGTTGTAGGGAACTGTCACACATAGAAACTAGCAGTCACATTTTCTGCAGCTGAATTATCTAGTCTGAAGTGACTTTTGATTTTTGTGATTCTGGGACTACATGCTTGCCCCTTAATGCAAATGCTATATTACTGCCTTATTTACCTAGAATATCAAAAACCATAATATTCACAGTTAATTATGAACTGTTGAAAATGTCCAGGATGTAACAGAATAAAATGTTTGTGTAACATACTCAACAGGAATATTAAGAAAAATGTAATTAAATCTGGTGGTCATTATTCAAGATCCTGTGTATGCAGTAATTTACATCAAGTCTTTTCAACACAAAGACATAACATCTGTTACTTAATATTCCTATAAATTACCCACATTAATCT